AATTACAAACCATGTGCACAAATCATCTCTAATTGAAGATCTAGCTGTGTTAATTGATTTTCATTTGCATTAATATGCAGCCTTTGAAGTAGCTTTTCTTAAGAGTTACCTTGTCAGGCTCAGCCTTCTGTTAACAATGGCTTTGGTCGACAGGCTAACACTAAAATAGATCTAAGAATGCCAATTTCTAACACTGACTTTTAGTCTTGCATTTTTATATGCTACATTTAAATACAGCTTAATGTGCTCAACTCATCTTATAAAATGCTACTTCAGACTCCCACTGCTAAATCCTGAAACAGTGCCTTAGGGCTACATTACCTTGTAATACTCTGAACATATTCTCAAAAGAAGTTCTTTCCTATTCTCTGGTTTGTGGGCCCAAATAATCTACAAATCTTAGCCATGGGACATGGATAGACTATCCATGCTGTAATGCAAAGTTTGGAGGCCCTTTGGCAGCACTTGTGCTGCTTTGCAGGTGAGGTATAATTTAGATGTTTAAGGTCTTATTTAACCCCTGGGCTTAATGTCACTGTTTTTGTGAAGCACGATGAAGTGGATGACCATTAACCTGGTGGCAAGAAAATACACAGTCTTTTAAAGGTGACCTTTTGAAAAGTGGTGGTAAGAAAACAATTTGAAGGCCAGAGCTTACAAAATAAACACTGAATTCTGGCTTTTATGTGCTGTATAAAGGCAATGTTTGTGAGGATTGTTCCCTCCAAATCCTGCACAATGCAAAGTATGTTCCTCAGTCTGCATCCTGCAAGGGACTTCTGAAAGAGGACAAGTGCCACAGCACATGCATTTACAAGGAAGTTCATACACTGCTAGTGTGTGGAGATGCAGGTTTGCTGCACAGAAGGCTGGCATCTCTCCAAAGGCAATACATCAGCTGGACATCTAGTAAGTGTAAACATGCTCTGCCCCCGCCGTGGTGCGAGGTCTGCAATCCCCTTGCTAAGGTCTATCAGGGAAGAGGGTTTGGAGAAGAGTAGTGCAATGCAGAACTCTGACTCTCGTGGCACATGCAAATAAGAACTAACTTTTAGAATAAACCTTAGTGTTGAACGGTTGCACCAAGATCCTCAAGATAATTTGCACACATGGTAGTGGAGATGATGTGGCGACGTGGGACTTGACCCGACCACATGTGGCAGGAATGTCTGTTTATGCCATGGGTCTGCCCTGCCACGGAGTCCCACCGTGGCCTCTTCCATGTTCTCCCAGTACTATTGCCATTCTCTGCCTAAACATGGGCAATGGCAATCACTAAACCTTTCTGGGCAGCTATACAGGGAAGGACACCCTTCTGTTTTGGATTGCTTGACATTGGGCGAAATAATTTCTCCAGTTTTCTGCATGAAAGAAGAAGGGACCAAGGTGCTGGATATGAGGTGCATAAACTCAGTGAACTCAGAGCATAGAACAGGAAGCTTTATGCAGAAATGGGGTGTGTGCTGTCAAACTCAGGGCATGGTGGGCCTAGAGGATGAGCCACCACGTAAGGAGACTGGCCTGAAGTTCAGACACCGTTCCCAGAGGACAAAGCATATGGAAGGGAAGGCAGTTTCTCTACTCTGAGACAGACTGAATTTCCCCTCCAAGCCTACCCAGGGGGTGATGGACTTACGAGACATGCATAGTTCTTTGATATTTTGTACAGACTTAAATATTTTTTATGCTGTACGGACAAGAAATAGAGACATTTGGAAATTCTGATTCTATATATACGATCACCTGACTGTGTGAACTGGCACCTGCAAATCTGGCACACGTACACACTGCGTGCTGTGCAGGAGGAGAGGCTCAGTGCTGGGCTGGCTCTGCACACTGGGAGACCATGTCACCACAGGGGACACAGCCAGCAGTGTCCCTGAGGCCCCAGGGCACCAAGAAGGTGCTGCAAATCCCACCCCTTCACCTGGAGAAACCTGAGCACATAACAGTCCTGGATATTTCTGAGGGTGAGAAACAGAATCTAGTGCCAAACCTTCCTAATGTTTGGTTACTGTTAGTTACAAAGAGATGCTGAGCTCTAGAGATATCCTTGGGGTTTTTTCCCCCTAAATGTGTGTGCTTGTGTGTATGTGCAAGCATGTGATAATTTTCCTTCAAACACTTCTCTGTCTCCAAATAGCAACTGCAGAGACTTCCACCAGCAGCAGCATTAACCTTGCACTGACCTCATAATAAGCAAAGGTACAAGCTGCTCCTCCTTCCAGCCTTAGCGTGAGAGAGGGAGATGAAAAGGAGTTTAATTTGGCCCATTGCATGGATGTGTTTGCTGTCACAAAAAGCCAAAATTCTCTTAGGACTGTAATGTGTCTGTTGACGTACAGATTTTAATATTGGTTATGATCAGCATCAAGAAAATGTTTAAATGGCCATTTTTTCCCCCAACAAATGATTCTTTTCAAAATTATTTTCCCCATGATATTGCTGCTTTTTCACAAATGTATGCACGGCATATTATGGGGGAAAATGAAGGTCAAAAGGTGTGAAGCGTAACTAATGAACGATGGGTCTAAAGAATGTGGTTTAATCCTAAAATCTATGGCACTGAGAGGCTGAACTCATTTCAGCTGCACTGTGAGGCTCACAGAAGTTGTGTGTAAAAGCTGATACTCTCTTAGGGTGGGTTATTTGGGGATTCACAGAGCCCAAACTTTAAATTTACACATATAAATGCATAGGTTTTAAAGCCAGAAGGAACCACCAAGATCTAGTCTGACCTCCTTTATAATGCACTCACAGAATTTCACCTCATAATTCCCTGCCTGAGCTAAATAACGTGAGTATTCATGCCAGAAGAGGTTGTGCTTTAATTCAGTGATGGAACAGGTATGATACCAGGCTGTTTATCCTGCAATCTCAACAAAGCCACAGAGCCCAAATAATGCATACCAAACATCAAATTCTCTCAAACTTGTGGTGACAGTAATAAAAATTGCTAAATGCCTTTGAATAACAAATAAATCTGATTAAACCACTCTCTGCTTATAGCTATCCTGTGAGCAAGCAAGACCATAAATCGTTAGATACATGATTTACAGAACATTATTCGCTCTTCTCAGTCACTCTCTATGTTCTTGAGTCTTTGATATTCTGATAGCAATGTCCTTTGCAAATAATGCAAAATGATGTATATTTTAGCAGCTACTGGCTAGATTCTCAAGAGGAAACATTCTCTAATAGCCCAGTGCTCCTGGGGGACTTTTACAAGCAGTAAAATCCAAAGTATACAAGCTAAATTTTTTGTCAAATCCTGCTTATACAAACATGAATCTCAGCTTCAGAGATGTCTTTTCTCATTGCAAGATGATGTGTAACCAGATTCCTGCATCCTACAGACATTTGAAGAGTCAGCTACCTATGCAGCAGAGCAAACAGTCATAGAATCAATGGGGTTGGCACAGCACAGAAACCACCTACAGATCTCTCCAGTGGGGCAGGAGTGGGAAAGGGTCCTCACACAGCAATCTCCTTGGCCACTGAACTCCTTTCCTGCCTGTGCTTTCTGTGACCAGAGGGGAAGAAAATAGTTCTACATGTGCTGAAACAAAGGTCAGGCGAAGAAACCTTTGATTTCTCCCCCTTACAGGTGAGGCTAATAATGCTTAAAAAAAAATTCATAGCATTTCATGTGGCAAACTGAAATTTGGGAGTAAGTTTAATGCAGATGCCACAGCCAACCCTATTCTCCTCCTACTTTGTAACTGTCCCTTACTGCTGAGAGTAAACATTTGCTGTTCAAACCAGGGAATAATGATTGCTGAATTTTTTTGGGGGGGCTAGGAAATTCCCAAACTCATTTGGATTACAGTGCAAATAAATTATAAAAATTGCAGTAATTAATACAATATTGAAATAACTTGGGAAAGCTTTGTGGTAGATTCTTTTTTTCTTCACAGACTTTAATAATGTTTAGATGTGTGGCAACAAGGAAAGGATTCACTGAAAGTACTTAGATGTGCTTAGAGAAAACCAGCTCCTGGGACTGTGCATTACTGCACCATCAATAACAAATGGAATAGTGTTTGCCAAGCTGATGTTTCATTCACCAACTAATGCCATTCAAAACCACAGACAGTGTGATATTTCCATTCTTGAACTTAAATTAGTTTAGTTTTTTGAGTACATACGTGTCTGAATTTGGAAAAATTCTATTCTTAGGCATGATATTCCAGTAGAGAATTTGATCGTAGTATTTACATTTTTATAGCTATAATGTGATTAATTTTACATGTAGAGCTGCATCTATACCTAATGCATGTTTTATACATAAGTATAATTATGAGGATAACTGTACATGTATGTGTAGATACATACTAGTACTGCAATAAGTGTGCAACCAAGTGCATACACTTTGATTTAGGTTTGTGACAGCCATCATTTATTATTATCTACCACCATAAATTAAGAATGGTGAATGTGTTTATGTTTTATGTGCTATCATGGGATAATTATGAAATATTTATTACATGGAAATTATTCTACATAAATTTATGTTGTATTTACAGGACAGAGCAGAAACCCGCAGAGAGGGCTGTGACATGAGAGCTCTGCAATGGCATTCCAAATAGCAGGAATATTCCCAGCAGCTTCAAGGACACTTTATGCAATTGAGTGCAGACTAGCTAAGTTTATCTGTATGATGGTTGGTTTGCAAGTTTTGGGGTAAATGATCCACGAACAGCAGAGTGGATGTATTTTATTTGCACAGTGAAATTCTATTGGCAAAAAAAGCTGCAAAGGCAGTTTATATTTTTGTCACCCTCTAATAAGCAACTAATGACCCACGGAGAATTTGGGAAATTGTCCTATTTACATTCTGTCCTATTTATATGGTCTGTTTTTGCATACAAAGGAGGTCTTTGTTCCTGTAGGGCTTGTCAGCACCTGCGAGCTCTTCCCCACCAGTTGCCATAGTCCTCTGTGGAATCAAACTTCATTTCCACATGCAAAAACGGCTGCGATGCAGATAGGTCAGGTACCTGGCAATTTTGTCTGTACAGGACATGGTGATGAGCTGCTCTCCCAGCAACACGCCGTCCCACGTCTGAGCCGCGTTCCGACACCGCACGGGGATCGTTCCTTCTCCAGATTCAATCTTCGTCCGGAGGTGCCCGCGGTATTTTCTCACTATGTGCTTGCTGCTGTTCACTGGGCAAAATAAACACAAGAATGGCAATAATTAAATGTTTTTAAAGAGAACCTGAGAGGCTGTGTTGATGCCATAGCTTGCATTTGCAGAACCACCTGTGGAGGTCCTTTAGATTGGATACAAAATGAGATGAGATTACAGCCCAAGAAAGCAGCACAGTGCAGAAAAGAAGGTGCTCCCTAGCACGGCTGTCATTTCACATCAATTAAAGCTTACACACAGCACACACTGACCTCATGTTCTCCTTCTTTTTTTGCTCTGTATTTAAAAAGAGCAGAGGTGTTCTGCTTTTTAAAAAGTAAGACCAGTTTCTTGTTTAGGATTGAGCTGTGTCAGGGGAATACGTGGGAAAACTTGGTTCAATGAGTGTTAACAAAGACTCACCTGCATGATGCAGACCAATCTGATACTCTAGTACAATGTGATTCAGTGACATTTTCCTGAATAATTTCAAATTTTAGGTTTTGATTTGTTATCACAAAATTACACTGAAAATTCTCCAAAGCTAAAGGCTTACACTCTGGATCAAAAGCCAATCAAAACTTAGTGGTTATTCAATGCTTGCTGAAATTCCTTCTACAGCCTCCCTGAAGTGAGGTACCCTCCTGCCTTGTGTCGTATCTTCTATCACTTCAGTGGTATGCTATATATGAGGGCAGCCCATGTATAGAATATATAAGCTTGCCTCTAGGCAAGGAGCTAACACACTTGTACTGTGCCGCAGTGAACTGGGTCCTGCAGATATGCAGTAAGTACAGAAGATAATGACATTTCAAAAGCACTTCATTTTCATGAAAAGAGAAAAACTGATGTTCATTATCAGAATCACTCTTACCCTCACACTGCTACTTTACCCCTGGGTATTTTGGTTGTAAAAGAACGGCACAGAAAAGCAAGGAAATCCTCTGGGTCTGCTCACTGCCTTACCTTCAGAGGCTTTCACTGGAGGACACCTTCTCCCTGAAGCAGACCTTTCAGAGTGTCCCTCTAGTCCAAAGGAAAATAATGAAAGACTACACGATGGCCTTTGTGTTCAAGGAACAGGACTGCTGCTTCTACAGACATGAGGCCTGTATTTCCAGCCCATATTTCCAGCTGTCCTGTGTATTTTTCAATGCCTCTCCCTCAGTTGAACCAGAAGGCTTCTGCTTGTGAATGTGATGTTCCTCAGCCAAAGGGGATGTTCCCCAGGCCTCAGTAGACTGCAGGGCTGCCCGTGTTCCTGGATGGAGTAATCCCAGTGTGCCAGAGGTTGCGGGGCTGGTGGAACCTCAGGCCATGAGCAGATGGCTCTGTGCACGATCCCCAGTCACCCACTCTCTGCCTCTGTCAACTTTATACTGTCTTTGCTTTGTATGGCTGTTGTCTGTGCCGTGAGCTCTGGTGGAAGCAATGGATTCTTTGGCTGCTGCCAATGGATGGTTTGCAAAAAGGGAATGGAAAAATAAATTGTTCCAGCCAGTTGGGTTTAGCAGAGGCAGTAAACACATGTAGAACAGCAGAGTCAGCTGTGACCTGCCAGCAGACAGGTGACTGG